ATATAATGCGTATTTATATATTTTTGTCGAATAGGAAACAGCATTGAAGTCTGTGACATTGACAGTTAAGACGACCAATAGGAAGCAACATTTGAAGTGACAACGGTAGTCAGGACAACCAATGAGAAACAACATTGGAGTATGTGACATTGATATCTAGGACGACCATAAAATTGACCAGTAAGAATTGACCAATAATTCTCTTAGGGTATTGGATGAATATCCTAACAGTTTATCGCGAAGTACACAGAAGCTAACACATGTATTAAATACTATATAGCTGAAAAGTCAATCTAATTCCTCTACGTTCACTTTACAAAAGATGTAATCAGTGGCAAATAATTTAACTACAGAATAAATGCCGCTTATATCTAAGAACAGAATTGATCACTTCATGTGAAACAAACTATTCCCGTAGATACATTTTTTCCGCAGTATCTCCAGCTTCATTTATCAACTTCCATCGAGGTCCCCCCACGCACACATATATAGTGAAAGTACATAGAGAAAAGTTCATATTCTCGTTTCCGAGCACATTTCAAAGAATTTGAGACTGAAAAAGTATGATTGCTTTGAATAGTGCAATAGCTTGGCGTTATTTTAAATTATCAAGCCAAAGCGTAGAAATAACACTTACAGTACTAAACAGATTCAATTTCTTAAAATAGATACCAAAAGAATGACAAAGAACTTGAATGTAAAAGGAGATGTTAGATCGTTAGAACTCGCTTGTTAAATGCCTTATTTTGGATTTCACGTTTGAGAGCATCGGCTGATCAATTGACCTTGAGATTCCATTTCCCACCAGGAAAATATCCATGGCTGTGACTGGCTACTGTGTATTTCAGTGTGCTATTTTCTTAACTGTCCCAAGGATGTTTCTACGATGTATAAATAAACGAGAGTTGTGTGTGTTGTGACTGCTGGGGTGTTTGTACAATATACTTTCTACGCTTACCCAGACTTCTGTTTTACAGCTTGGGATTCAAGGTAGCCTACCTGGATGCTGGTAATTGTCTCGTTCGCGTTATTCGACTAAGGTGAACTCGTAATAGCTTCAAGCATACCTAGTGACGAACCCTACAAATTCAACATACTACATAAATTAATCATGCTATATAAATTTCCAATCAACTGCATTCATTTGATATAAACAAATATTGACCTTGAAAAAAATGAACATTGATCAAAAACTCAAATCTTACTCTGCAACAATCGGTACTAAATCGAAATATTTTCCAGCTATATATAAATCACCAGCTTCCAGTGTTACCATATCAGCATAACCATCTTTAATCAATTTCATACAATCGATGGTAGAATTAGCTTGTAAACAATACATTTCCGGTTGAATACGTTTTGCTGAGAATGCACTAGACATACGTTGACATTTGATCATTTCAAATTCATCGATAACACACCAACCAAGTGATGGAAGTGGACAAGATTCTAATTTTTTTAAAGCTTTTTTAAATGAAGGATCTATGTGGTATGAAAAAAGAATGTATGACAGAAAAGCAAATATGTAGAAATATATTGAAGATTGAACGAAATAAATTCTATCTTATATCGAGGTAAGTTAGGTAGATTGTCTGTTTTTCTAATATTGTGGTGCGCGCTACTTTTAAGTAGTATATAACGAGAGTAAAAATGTAATGTCTGGCAGCAGAAGATGGGGGAAGATCAAGAAAGGAAGAGCGGGAACAAAATGGGATTTGTATGAAACGTATGAACAGTGAAATGTCAGATAATGGATTGATGTTTTGCAACAGGAACAGTCCAGTTCGATATGATGGATTGATATTTTGTAAGTTGACGATTTACGATATGGTTTCCCTATTTTACCAATTAACAATTCGGTTGCCCTCACCTGTGATCTCCTTCACTTCTAGAAACCGGTTACATTTTTACAGTCTTACAATGTATTTGAAACGACCAGTTTAGTGCTATATTACCAAGTATTAATGTCTAGAACAAGGTGTTTAGACCTCATCAACTATTTTGAATAAGATTGGTTAGTCTTACGTGATGCTTAGTAAGAAAAAAACCCACTTTCGACGAATTTATAACTAAGCTGTGCATCCGTTTATGCAGATATGTAGTTTCATGAGGTTAAAAGCAGATGTGAGCAGTGATCAATCATGAGAGAGTGTAATAAGAAAGATTGTAATACTAAATCCTAAAATGCTACTAACAGTCATAACAGTTTCTTAGTTTACATAGAATGTAAGAGAAAGGATGAGTGTAAAAACCAGTAAACTAACAATTCATTGTGACCTCTTGGTTAGAATATAAACTAGGATACATGTCATTTTTGTATAATTGTCAAAAAAAACTAATCATGAGTGGATTCGGCAAAAACTGATCACAAATTATACACCTTAATGGGAAATAAGCTGGACACAGAACGATTGGCAAAAAATGGCATTTTATGCCATTTTAAGTGATAAATGCTTGAAAGTAGCCCGTGAAAGATTTTCCATGCAAAGAATCTTTTAAACAAAATCATATCTTGAACGCAAGGAATTAAGGTCACATTATTTCATCTGAATATCAGGAACACTACTATAGGGTGAATTGCAAAACAAGAATATCCGTTTTGCAGTGGACTGAATAAACTGATTGAACTTCATACAGTAAATAGTATCATGATTGATTTCTGTCGATAAAGTTACAAGTTGAATGACTCAAGAGTATGTCACCGTTTATGGTGATGAGGATCAAAACTAGTGGAAAAGAAACTAGTCCCAGTTTCAATATGAGGACAACATAAGTGTAAATAGCACTATCAAGTCAAACCTTGATATTGATACTTAAAACATCGACAGACGTTGTAAACATCTGATCACAGATGATTTCTTAGAATTGCTTACATTAGATTTCAGGTTTTGAAGTTGGTTATTTAGTGAGGTATTAAACGTGAACAGTCTAAGGCAAGTGTTTCCCTTGACAAATAATTCTGTCGGAAAATTAAGTTGAGAAAATAGCATGCTCAACCACATTAAACAACATTCTAACAAAATTATCTCATTAAATAAACGAAACAGCCATTGAATGCTTCAGTGAATTTGTACTGTTCTACAAAATCAGTAGGTTTATTTGTTGTAAAAAGAAAAGATTTCAAAAATTATACATTGAGAAGTAGATTTCAGGTTTTAACTCATGAACCGTGATTTATTAACCATTAGTGTGTGTCATATAAATATATAGGGCCAAATTAAAAACTTGGAAGCATCGAACAGATGGTTTTCTCTAAAATTGTCACGTTAAGTAATAGATGAGTATTGATTTAAATCTTAAATCCATCAGTGTTAGACAAACATTGAAGAACTGGAAGCATTAGACAGTCATTTCGTCCTAGAATAGGACTCATTAGTAGTGCTCATCCACGACACCAAATCGCCGGAATCTGACCCAAGACCTTCGGTCTTGTGCGCGAACGCCAAACCTCTAAACAACTAGGTAGGCATACAATGGTATCAATTTCTAAATTTACTTAATCCAAGGTATTGTACAACCTCACTCATTGTCTTCGATAACTGCCTCACACTCGACACGATTGAACTCCACTGGCCACGGCTTTTCACTAGAACGCCGAGAATTTCCCCACGCAGCTAGTCAGCCCTTTCGGATGTAGGCAGTTACCAAGTTCGATGGGCAAGATTGCACAATACCTTGGATTGATTAAAGTTAGACATTATTGGCGTTGGATGCCCACCAAGTGATTTAGAATCTTAGTGTTTGTGCGCGAGACCAATGAACTTGGGTTCGATCCCCTCGAGCTAGGTTTGCGAGTGCTCACTACTTGTGAATCCCATACTAGGACGAAACGACCATCCAGTGCTACCAGTTTTTAATGGTGGTTCAGCAGTGATCGATTGATGAATTCTATGAAACTCGACAATCTTATCAACTTTAAGATGAATAATTATACACATTGCCATGTTATAACTCTCTTATACTTATTGTCTTTATTCTAATCATCTTCATGCATATAATATAAAACATTAACAATGGTTAAAAATAATTATTACTCATGTTTCTGAGTTATAAGTAGTTACGGGGAAAATATGAAATAAAATTAGTTCATCTTATTAAATGACTGTTGTTGTTTTTGTTTTAGTTCAACTATTTTGACTACTTATTAAAATGTTTAAGTAGTGAATTCAAAAAATATGCAGAATCATATTATGATAAACGAAACTTTTATTCGAGTATTTAATCAACGAGAGTAGGTTTCAATGTAGTAAAACGTTTTGATGTAAAATATCTTATACTTTTTCTTAGGAAAAATGATTATCAATGACAGATTGATAAAACAAAACTCTGCCCCAAAATATTGCAACAGTGCTCACTAGTAACTAGCTTCGTGAGGACATTCTCGAAGTTCTAGTTGAGAAGACGTAACCGATGGAGTTCAACCCTGTCGGGTGTAGGCAGTAACTACCAAAGACAAATGGGTGAGGTCGCGCAAAATCCCTAGATCAATCAGAGTTAGACATTAACACCGTTGGATGCCGGGCCAGTGGTCCGATGGTAAGGCGTCCGCCTACGATACCGAAGGTCCCGGGTTCGAATCCTGCGGGGAGCAGGAGTCGTGGATGCGCACTGCTGATGAGTCCCATACCAGGACGAAACGGCCGTCCAGTGCTTCCAGGTTTCTAATGGTGGTCTAACAATGATGATTGATTAATGATTTCAAATGTGTAAAAAACGCAAACCTCCAAAACTCTGCCCCAAAACAAATTCTAAAAATGTACACACAAACATGAAAATTCACTGAAGAGACCGTTATCCATAGAAGTTATTTCACAGTTGTATATTTGAATAAACATTCGAAGTCTTCATCATACGAATAAGTAACAAAAGAGCACTAAAGCACAGCATATATCTTCAGTTTTAAATAAAACTTATTCAGATCAATACTGATTGACCTTCACTTCAACCATCTTGTAGGGTTATGTATAGTTTGTCTCGCTTTGATTCCTTTCATCTGATTAGTTTCGTGTATGGAAGTTGTCGGTAAAATTTCTAATTCACTGTTATCAATTACTCTCTGTCTCAAAAACTGTAAATTTGACTGACTACAAAGGTTGTAAGGGTTTCGAATTTTGGATGGTTTTACGAAGGTTCGTCAACTAAAGTATATGTATAGTGAAAACTACCTTTGAAAAACAACTGAACACTTAGTAATTTTCGGCTATGGTCTCTGAGAGGATTGTTCATCCAAGAAAGTAGTTAGTTATGGGCCTGTATCAACGAGTACACAATAAACCCCTCTCAAAAAGATGTTGTTGTCAAAAACGCTGAATCATCTTCCAAACGATTTAAGCCAATCGGGAATGAAAAATTCATTTAGACGAAAGTTTTTCAAGGGTCTGTGTAACAGATGCTACTTTACAAAGAATTTTATTCAGTTCCAAGGGTATCTAATTGATAATCAGGCAAAATATTTCTTTAATTGGTTGAAATTAGGATCCGTTGTGGTGCGCGCTACTTATAAGTAATATATGACGCAAGTGAAAACGTAATGTCTGGCAGCAGAAGATGGGGGAATATCAAGAAAGGAAGAAGAGTGGGAACACAATGGAATTTTTATGAAACGCATGAATAAGTGAAATGTCAGACAATGGATTGATGATGGATTGAAGATTTGCAAATTAACGGTTTACGATATTGTTTTCATATTTTACTGAGTAACTCTGTAATTTTCGTTAAATGCAATCCGGTTTCCCTCACCTGTGTTCTCCTTCACTACACAACTACTGATTATTAAAATGACACAGATGAATCAAAAATTAACACTTGAACTGTCTGTTTTGTCAAAATGTAACTACAACATTGAGTCCATGGTGTAAAAGTAAAAGATATTAAGTGAAAAAAAAAGAACACGATCACACCTACCGATCCATCTGTAGTAAGTTTCAGTTTCTGTTACAGGAGGAATATAAATATTTTTAGTAAAATCAGAAAACATTAAATGATGTGTAACATTAACTCTATTCATAGTTGTATAACCAGTTGACGCGAATAAATTGAACTTTGAAACACTTGTTCCGTTTGGACCAAAATGTTGAACTAATAACTCAAGAAAATCTGTGTATACAGTTACATCAGTTTGAATTAAACTAGTCATAATCATACGAGATGGAATTTTGCCCCAATTACAACTGGCTGACGAAGTGATATTGGCCGTCCAACTTCCACTAGTAGTAAACGAAAAAATCAAAACATATTAGGAAGCCCCATTAACAGATTCGTATATGTTATCGTGCAACATTATCAATGATTATTCAAGGTCTATGGAATTTTCTTACATTGGGATACTTATATTACGTCGTATACTTCAGTGTACGCTTTTTCATAAAGTAAAAGGCAAAATTTTAGCTTATAAACTACAACTTACTTACTTACGCCTGTTACCCAAAATGGAGCATAGGCCGCCTACCAGTTTTCTCCAACCAACTCTGTCCTGGGCTTCTCTTTCCAATTCTGTCCAATGTTTGTTCATTCCTCTCATATCTTTCTCTATTTCTCGGCGTAATGTGTTCCTTGGCCTTCCTCTTTTCCTTTTGCCTTGAGGGTTCCATGTGAGGGCTTGTCTTGTGATGCAGTTAGGTGCTTTTCGTAGTGTGTGTCCTATCCACCAACTCCACCGCTTCTTCCTGATTTCCTCCTCCACTGGAATCTGGTTTGTTCTCTCCCACAGTACGTTGTTGCTGATAGTGTCTGGCCAACAAATCCGAAGTATTTTGCGTAGACAACTGTTAATAAACACTTGTATCTTCTGAATGATGGCTTTGGTAGTTCTCCATGTTTCCGCTCCATACAGTAGAACTGTCTTGACATTTGTATTGAAAATCCTGATTTTGGTGTTGATTGATATTTGTTTGGAGTTCCAGATATTTTTCAATTGCAGAAATGCAGCCCTTGCTTTGTCGATCCGCGCCCTCACATCTGCATCGGATCCACCATGATTGTCGATGATGCTGCCAAGATATGTAAATGTGTTAACGTCCTCCAAGGCATCTCCATCAAGAGTGATTTGGTTGGTGCATGTTGTGTTGCATCGGAGAATTTTGCTTTTTCCTTTATGTATGTTGAGACCTACTGCTGCTACACTGGTCGTCTTCTCTTGCATTTGTTGTTGAGTGTGCGATAGAAGAGCCAAGTCATCTGCGAAGTCCAGATCGTCCAGCTGCGTCCTAACTGTCCAGTTGATACCGTGCTTCGCTCCAGATGTTGACGTTTTCATAATCCACTGTAAAAGCGTCAAACTATTTAGTAGTAAAGTGATTCTCTCGTTTATCACCATTCTAAATAAGAGGTGCATTTTTATACTTACATCTGTTCAAAGTTACGTGTTGTAGTTATGTTCATGAAAGCTCTTCTCTTACTGAAGCTCGATAATAGTTTGGTTAGCTAAGAAAACTAATTCTTATAGATTGCTGTGGTTCATTATCATAAAGTAAATCAAAATATTCATGAATCTTGTAAACTTGTAGTGTCACCACATGTATTCTAGTTCGCTTACATTTAATTCGGTTAAGCCCTTTCCATCAATTTATTTTACCAAGCCATTTGCGCGTAGTAGCAATAACTTCTATGTACCATTCGTTCTTATTATAGTCTGGTTTGTAGGAGCTCACGTGACTTGTTCCACTTGTCATTTGACCTTGTCAACTATTCGTCGCTTTTATTCATGTGTGTGTATGCCTATCTCGTTAATCACATGTCTGCTTTATTCCTGTCTGACCATATATTCTTAGTCACGCTCTATCTCCGGGACTTGGCCCAACAGCCTTCTCGAACACGCTTCGCCTGTTCATTCGCTCCCTTCTCCCATTCGTTCACATTTTAATCCTAGGAGTTGGCTCACTAGCCTTCTCCACCCTGTTTCTCCGCTTCGCTTTGTGGTGTGCCCCAAATAAACGTATTCGTCACTACGAGTTCACCGTCAGACGCTAGTTAGTAGCGATTGTCTGCACGAACTAAACACAAACGTTTAGGAACACGCAGTAAATTGACACATTACAAACTAATTGATTGGTACCCAAATTTAGCTACACAGAACTAGACAAAAATAGAAAAATATTAGATAAGCGGAATAAAATATACAGCCGATTCAAAGTATTCTTAATGTAGGCTTTGGATTTGATTAGGTGTATCGATAAATAAAACTTCAGTCAGTCAGACATACACAGTGTGTGAACGCACCAATGTCAATATGAACGATTCCTATGTCATATCAGTTTCAAATCTTTAACGGTTGATTACGATAATCTAGCGAACCCCAACCAAGTAGTCTACACCTATTATCATACTCAACGCACTCCTAAGCAGGTGTCATTGGGAGGAATTATACTGAACTGGGAGATTATATAATTAGAACGACTGGTCATGATAAACGTTTTAAAAACCTAAGGCTTACTGAGATCGGGAGGTAACTGAATTAAAAATGATTTATAAGTGAACAATGAAAGACACTAACTCAATAGAGAGGTTAACTGATTGATTAAGGACAAGAAATAATAACTATCTATCGGAAGAATAAAATTTACAAAAAGACTTATTTCAGAAAAAAAAATACATAAAAGAAACTCTGGCAAGACACTAAGCTTTAAAGCTGTTTGCCAAAAATAACCAGATATCAAGTTTTATGGAGAGGTTTCAATTTTTGAGTATCAAGTAGTTTGAAGTATTCTAAGAATTGAAAGGGTGGGTAATATTGGAACTCATATTCAAATGACTATGTTATTTTTATAAATGTTGTGAAGAAAGGTAAGAATGTAATCTTAACCATAGACCCAAAGAGTTATCTGTCACTGTTCATACGTTTAATTAGTGTTGTTGCTACCTTACAGCATATATAAAATATTACATAGGCAAATGTATTGAAAAATAAAAAGGTACGAGAACTCTCTAGTTGGTGTGGTAGAATAATAAATTCAAATGTTAGCATCTGATTCAGTCAGTCAGATGCAACGTAGAACTTCGTATGTAAGTACATCAGTTCATGTTTCCATACCACATTAGCACAGAGATATAATTATCAATTCAAATCCAATAGTAGAAGAGGTAGTAAAGGTATTAGAAGTAATCGGAGAGGTTAGGATTAGAAGATATTATTCAAGAAATATGATTCAATGAGAAAAGTTAAGAAAATAAAAAAACGAGAGGTGTTGAAGAACACAGAAGATCAGGATTTGAGAGAACACAGAGTAGTAGTAGTCGACAACTACCGAAATGACTCAGTCCACTTATCAATGACTTCATCGATTTCTGTCATGTTTTGGTCTGGCTGCCCCTAGCTTTCTTCCAAACTATTCCTACACAACAAAACAAAGCTCGTCGAGGCAGTCGGTGGTTAGGCATTCGTAACACATGTCACAACCACCTCAACTGATGAAGTTTCATTACTTCATCTATTGATCTGCCATTCTTACCTAGCACCCGATTCCTAATAACAGCGTTGCTTACTCGGGTGTCCCACGATATACGAGCAATGCTTCGAAGATACCAGTAACCTACGAATATCTTCTACTCTCACTGGCCATGTTTCACGGCCATAAATTAAGATGGAAAGAACTGCTGCACAGTACACTCGTCCTTTAGTTAGCAAACGGATATCTTGCCTATGTCATAAGTGACGCAAGTTGGCAAATTCCAATCGAGCCTTCTGTATCCGTGCTGAGATTTCGTCAGTCACCAGGCCATCAACATTTATGAGACTCCCAAGATAAGTGAAGCGGTCTACACGCTCGACTACTTCACTCCCAATCACTGTTTCAGGTGCCTAGCATCTGAATAAATCAACATCAACCAATAAATTCAGTTTATACATCTTGTTGACAAGTTTAATATCTACTTTTCGCGACATCATGAATGAAAAAACCTATTTATCAATTTTCTCTTCAAATAAGACTATATATTGACGTTAATAGGATTCTAATAATAAGTTTCACACTGGTTACTAAAAGAGCTAACTTACTCAGGCCTTTTTGATGGACATAATAATTCATAATTTTCTATTGGGAATCCATCACCAGCGGCTAACTCAATTTCACGATCTCTTAAAAAAGCAACAGCCGGTTTATATTTTGATTCGAAATTCTCAGTATATTCTCTCAAGCATCTCAATGCACCTTGATTTCCTGCATATCTATCTAAAGATGCACACCACTCAGATAGTCCTGTATTGTAACACAACCGACAAACTTCTTGAGTATTATCTCCGAATGGATTAAATATCTCAGACAATGAATTCGGTATGCAAGAATCACCAAGATAACGAATTAAATTTTGTACAACACTATTACACTGTGTAACCGGAATTGCTCTAAGGTCTGATATTAGTGTACCAACAGGCATTACCCATCCTTCTGCTGTTCCAGCACCTATTTTTAAAATAAACTATACTTGAAATTAAAATCAGCTTACCGGCTGAACAAATTTCTTTGCCTCTTAGATTTGTAGGATCTACATATATATTGATTGGCTTAATCATAACTGCATAATAATACAAGTTTCTTGCATTCAGTGCATTGCTTATTGCGTAATTTTCCACAGCAATAGGACGTAAACTGTACAAAGAGCTACCATAGTATGCTAGACCAACATCCAAATTCATTAAGTCAGCTTTCTTTTCATTGATTAATTTCATACAATTAAATTCATCTGAACCAAGTATACATGTTAAATTATAGTTGTTTGAAATAGTAGGAGTAGTTTGAATCACTGAACTAAGACGATTACATTTGATTTCTTCTTCAGGTGACGTTGAACACCATCTTATTGTGGCTAGAAAATTTTTAATAAGATCATGTTTATGACTGTAAGATAATGTAATTGGATGATGTATAAGAAATGGGTTTATTTTCACCAACTATAGACCAGATGAAAAACACGATCTAACCAAAAAAGTATTCTGACAAAGATCTAAGAACTTTGATTGTTTAGCACACTGAATATCATACAAAAGCAGAAAAGTAAAGTTCAGAGTTGAACAGTGCTTTAAATAACTAGTAAAATCAGCTTTTTTCCATTTGGGAGTGGTTGCTATCTAATGTCATTAGAGAAGATAAGTGTTTGCTCGTAAAACAATTGCGTGTGTTTGACACTTTAGAATCACCAGCAAAACTACCTAGTAGCACAAAGAACACTTTCAAAGATTTCAAAACAAGTACATAACAACTATCCAGTGTTTCGGTACTTGAGATGGTTTTCCATATGTGGACTAGTGATTAAAAATTCCTAACACTGTGATGAGCACAGACATTTTGGTCACTTCTGATTCAACTTGCTTGGTGCAAATGCAATTTATGACTGAAATTTTCCTCTTTATATGCAAATTACGATGGTCTAGGAACAACGTGTAGAAGCTTTTCGAGAAATTACCGGCCCATACACTTTATAATCTGAAGCGAGAAAATCATTCAGGATACTGAGCTCTCAAGTTACCAAACATATCACGTTTAGTGTGATACAGGCTCTCTAAACGTTTTTCGAAAATCTGATTTTGCATACGGAGTTTCTAAAATTATCTTTAACTCATGTGGTTTGAGCATCGTCAAATGTTTATCCCCAATTGCAACACTTACGCCATACCTCAAATCATACACTGATAATTATAAAAATACAAACAGATTGATTACACTGAACTTAAATTAATGTATGCATTTTAGACATTGATTTCAGTTAAATTTTCCAGGGATACTTCAATAATACAAAGAAAGGATGGAAGTTCGGTACAGTTTAAAGATTTTCATCATATTATCTACACAAAAAGACTCAGAAAGTAGAATCGTTTGTCAATGAGCAAAAGTAAAACCCATTATTTGAACAATAAATGTAAACAAATATTAGGTTTTATATTATCTCAAAAATGAGCTACTAAGAATTACAGTTACATGTGAATTCCTTCATCAACAATCGTAACCTATGTTTGAAATATGATCCATTATTGGAGATTTAATAAGAAAATAAACGCTCAAAAAAACAAAAAGTGAAGGGACATAAATATGGTTATTTGCAAGATTTTCTTGCAAACATCAAGCAGAATTAGAACTTTGAACCTACTCTGGGGTGAAATAGGACTAATTCGCAAAAATATATGTAATACACAAACTAGAAAAAACATCCGTGTTATGAAACATTAAACAAACGCTTTCGGTTTGTTTATTTTCTTTGATATATTAAAACAATCCGAAGGTCATATTTCATATGGATGTGTGCAAATACTCCAGTTGATCAACGTCACAATATTGCAAACGTTAAGCTTGTAAACGGTAGCACTGAATCAAGATCCAAATCTTCATTTGACAGAGTTTCATTGAATGCGGAAACTAGACTTTTAAAACCAAAGCCGCCACTCTATACCTATGGCTTCCTAAGCTGTATCGATCATCCTCTCAGACGTCTGCTCAGGCTAATTTCCATATGAGCACAGAAGTAATTACTAGAGAATGACGTACATCACGGTATTATTTTATGTAATTAACTGGGCTAATAAATTTTTTAATAAAATCGACTGCCATGCTTGTAAGACACGATGTTTCTCTCGCTATACCTAAATATAACGATAATTATAGCATCGTTTCAATCTCTACAAAGTTGAGTTCAGGAAACAGACGTGTTTGTGCTTACCGTGAGTGGTTTTGAATGTATACGCGAGCGCTGACAACAACCATAACTGCAACATATAAGACCTCGGTGACCAAAAGTTTTTAGATCAATGTGCATATAAAGAATAGCTTCTTCGCTTTCATGCGCTGGCTCTGTAACCGATATGTCAGGGTGTGGTTAAGTGTTGTTAACAATACCAATAAAGAGGACCTTGTAAAAGATTTTCGGTGTTACAGACTCAAATACGGCCTTAGATTTATTTCATTCATCCTCGATCAAACAACTGACTATGACCGACCATTAAATTAGGAAAGCAAGGTCTCTGATTGCCAGAATATTTTTCTGCTTACTGACGCATGTTGCGCCTCTTGGAACATATCCTGCGAGCCAGGATTCTCTAACCAGTTCTGTACAGGGCTCTCCTTTCAATCTGTTCCTAACTGCAATTCATTATTTTCGTGCCGCTTTCCAATGCTAAGTGCAGTATATTCTTTGGTCTTGGCGACTCTAAATTACTGCATGCTTGGTGATGCAGTTTGCTGATTTATTCACCTTATATCTTATCCACATGCAGCGCCGACCAGTGGACTCGGAGTATCTTGTGTAGGTAACTGTTTAAAAAAACCTGTATCTTGTGGGTGATAGCTTTTGCAATAGTCCGAATTTCCACTTTATACAATAGAGCAACCATTTTGAAGTTTGTATTTAAAATACAGACTTTCTGTTTGTTGAATCTTTTTTTAGTTCCACATATTCTTCATTCGTAGAAATGCAACCCTTACTTTGAGAGACCCGTTTTTTCACTTCTGATTCGGATTTGCCTTGTTCATCAATGATGCTACCCAGGTAATTAAAGTCTTCACATCCTCTAGACAACGTTTGTCAATCATGATTTGATTGGTTCTAGCTGCGTTTTACTAGATATTTGATCGTATTGCTTCCTTACTTTTAAGTTCCTGAGCCCACTGCCACAGAGGCTGCTTCTACACTGACGGTCTTCATCCATATTTGTTGTTGAGGGTGATAGATGTCCAAATCATACAGCTTTATCGAGGCCGTTCACTGCATCCTTTGCACAAACAGAGATGCTGACGTTTTCATAATTTAGTCAACCACCGGGAAAAAGAGAAAGGGTGAGGTCAAGTAACCTTGCCCAGAAACCGGACTCTACATAGAACGAGTCTGTCAGCTGCCCTATATGAGCAGTTTCACAGTTTAATCCATCATAAGAATTCAGGTAGATGTTGCCTATCTTTTTCTGGTATTGAGAGCGGAATGATTCCCATGTAGTTCTTACATTTGCTAGGATTTCCTTTCTTCAGTATTTTAATGAGGTGTCTTCCTCTACGTTTTGGTGGTACTTGTTCTTCGTAGTCACCAGGACGTCATCCAGGACCCAGGAACTAGGAGGATTAAAGGTATATTCAAATGTTGGTTGGGATGCCGATAAGTGAATTGACTAAGCTTGCTAGTCGATGCGAGGAGATTCATTTCACTGCGTACCCAAAGATGACCTGATCAGGATGTGACCAAAAGCCTTCAGCTGCCTGTGTCCGCTAAAATTAGTGAGGTCAACATTGATGTCGAAGTCCCAGAGAACTATTTATTTAGAAGAATTATCGCCATAACTCGTAATTCATATACTTCTTAAATTCCGAAAATATGGTTTTATAAGTCACAACTCCTTCATTATTATTCTTCTGAAGGCAATGGAGAGATAAAAATTCATAGTTATTTGCTAGGGGAGGGTAGAAGTGATCAACCTCAATTTCTCGAAAGCTTTTTTATAGGGAAAATCGCGTAAGTCTCACCAATGAGCCTCATCTGTTAAAAAGGAAGCCATCACTGATTGATTGGTTAAGTCTGAAAAATGAACTACTGAGTGTACATTTCTTTAGACCACTGCATGTCTAGTTAATCAGTATAAGTGACGTTCCTCAACAACTAACATCTAAGTTATTACTTTTTCTGACAGTATAAAAAGCTTGGAGAAAAGTGTGTAGCCTAGGTGGTAAGCTCAATTTTGAGGAAGATATGACTCAGCTTTAAAGTAGGGCGAATAAAAAAGCAGACTTTTATTATTACATATCACATTATGCAGACTATAAATACAGCTTAAGTAACTCCTCTCAAAAAGTGTTCTAATTTGAAAAAAGATACAGGGGACGATCTAAAATCTTACGCTAACTGCAACAAAAATTACGTTTCATACAAACGTATTGAACATTGTTTTCCCACAAATCTTGTATGTGAACGCTACGTCTGTTGTCTTCGCGTTAGAATGAGCGACTATTCAGATTCAGACGAATCACTTAACGAGTCTCCACCTAAAAAAAAGAACAAATCTCAAAAGTACACTGAAAAGGATCTTTCTGATGACAATGATGAAGAAGAAGAGGACGATGAAGAAGAGGAGGAAGAGGATGATGTTGATGAAGATGAAGAACCTGCTTTAACATCCAAAAGAAAGAGAAGAATGAACTTCGCAGTTAAGGTAAGACACATGAATTTCTTAGGAATTCATTGATATTTTATCGTTTCGTTCTAATGGTGATATTCACTGATGGTCTGAAAACACCCATGATAAGTTGTATGCAATACTTCCATGGAAATTTCCCTATTGTTCTCCACAATATATAAAAGTATAATGTATATCTCTTCATATTTTGTTCTTCGGATTATACTGATTTAGGATTTTTGAAATAAAATAAGTGTGTTGATAGACATACAGTATCCCATTATGAGTTTTCGACCTGTGTGGTCGTAATCATGAACTGTATTAAAATTGGTTTGCATATAAACATTCTAAAGCACACATGTCGTCTCAAATGCCTTAAGCTGCAGACGATGTAAGTAAGCAGAACAGTTTAGCATTCTTTAACCCTTAAATGCGTATAAAGTTACATTTTGAAAAAAATATAATGGGTATAACGTTATTCCTTCAATACCCAAAGATATTTTCGACCATTGTTGAGAAAATAGGGATATCAACTACTCAAAACCACCTCATACAAATGCAAGGCATGAGCATCGAAATTAGATATGCCTAGATTACTTCATTCAACCGTAGTAATTTCCTAAACTGTCGTCTATGTTTAAACAGGTAAGTAATTTTGATGACATGTGAATTTCCTAAAGACCGTGAATCAGTCTGAAACCACCGGTTTATATTAACCTAAATGTTTAGAAAGTGTCACATGCCTATTCACTGTGCATTTTTTGACGGGGTTGATTTTGTAGAATTGCATTAGTGATCAGACCCATTCATAATCTTAGCCCACCAACTGTTGCTTTAGTTAAATACAAATTGGTAGTTCCTGATTAGGGTCCACAACATAGTCGTAAAAAGTGGCAGTACAAATTATTCTATTCAGAAATCTCTAGATTCAAATATCCTGGAGTTTTGGAATGCTCAACCATCGACTACCTCGTCAACCTGTTGAGTGTTGTAGAAGTAGGTTGGAAGAAATGTAGGGACGATCATACCAAAACATGGCTCAAATCCATGAAGCCACTGGCAAATGGACTGAGCCATTTTGGTAGATGTAGACTACCGGATTGAGATCCACGACATGATAGTAATCGATCGTTCGAGACCTTGAGTGACATGGCTCAAAATCGTATGCTGTGGTGCAGGTATATCCATTCTCTGTGTTCTCACAAATTCTAGTCCTCTGGATTATTCATCATGTTTATGTCTCTTTTTTAAATTGATTTCACTGGATTACACTTCTCAGATGATAACTTCGACCACTAATCTTTTTGATTACCGTTAATACTTCTACTCCCTCTGCTACTATGGGATTTGAGTTGATAATTGCGTTCCTGTGCTAATGTGGTCTGGCGACCTGAGCTGATGTACGTATGTACGAAGTTCTGCGTTGTAGCTAGCTTACTGAGATAGTCAAGTGTGTGACATCATGAGAGACATCATTGAGAGTCTTATTAACCTGTAACCAAAACACCTAGCGAATATCTTTTTCCAAATTGCATGATCATTTTGAAAATTCGATGTCTAGAATCTGTTTTGTAAATTCATATTCGTAAACAGTAAAACGTCGTCGGAAATCTATCAACTTTTTTAACCTTCCTATGAGAATGGAAATAGATGATATTCAGAGTTACTGCGGTATCTTTGGAAACACTTGGTGAGATTGAGGATGTGTACTGGATGAAGTGGTTGGATTGTTGTGACCACCACGTCGAGGCGACGTCAGACTCTGCCTCTTTTCCGTCTTTCACGCTGTTTTTTTTGTTCTTTTTTTTCAGCGTGATTGTCGGAAATGTGGCAGAGTCTCACGTCGCCTCGACGTGGTGGTCACAACAATACCAACGCACTTCAGCCAGTGACACAGCCTTCTCGAATCTCCACCAAGGTGTCTTGCGCAAAGGATCCGCACGTACACTCTGAATATGCATGTCTCTTTCCAGTTCTGGGGGGGCATGGGAAGGTTAAAAAAGTTGATAGATTTCCGACGACGTTTTACTGTTTACGAATATGAATTTACAAAACAGATTCTAGACATCGAATTTTCAAAATGATCATGCAATTTGGAAA